CGCACACGTGCGTCCGGGCTGGAGCGGGGCCGCGAGCCGCGCCTTTATAGCGGCCGGCCCCTCCCCCGCCCGCCTCCGCCGGCCCGCGGGCCGAGTGAGCACAGAGCCCTGCGGATGGTCCGGAGCATCGCTCTCCTCTGGCGTGGGGGCGCAGGGGAAGCGAGTGTCCCCCCTCCCCACGGCGAAAAGGAACGTAAAGCAGACCCATAGGCAGGCTGTCTGTCCGGGCTGCTCCTTCCTGGTAATCTGGGGCGTCCTGCGCCCGCTGTGAAGGGGCAGCACAGAGCAGTGTGGAGGGGCTGGAAGTTGCTCCAGCAGCTGCAGGCCAGAGGTTTGTGGGGGTGGCACAGTTCGTCTGTCCTGCACTTGGCCTCTATGCCTGCTGCTAGAATCTTCTCCCTGGTCCCAGCTCATTCCTGCTCCCCACTCTGGCGGTGGGGGAGCCCCCATTCTCCTGCTGTGTGCTCCTGGGGCCTCCTACATGGCCACAATAGGAGGGCACAAATGGGTAAGACCAGTTTCTCCCTGGAGTCTCTTGGGGTTGGCTCTATAGGCTGGAAGGTGCTGGAGACCCCCTCTCCCCTGGAAAGGACATTCTTGAGAGTGTGTGGGGTACCTGCGGTGGGCCTCCTGGAGGGGCCAGTCCAAAGGGTCCTATCCTGCTGCAGAGGAGCCTCCGGCACCCAGTCCTCAGCCACACCCCTCGACCCCCCCCTTTGCAGGAAGCAGCCGCCTGGGCAGCAGTCCCCAGGCTGGGAATGAGTGAGGGTGGTGGCTGGCAGGGGTTGAAACCAGGAATGTGTGTCCAGGAATGTGGCTGCTCTGGTTACCCAAGGGGGAGGGTGTAAGACCAGTGAGGGTTGGGAGGGGAGTCCTAGGCCACCTGCAGAGAAGGTAATGGCTTCTGTCTCCTTTCAGAGTGGGTGAGGTGGGATCTTCCCCTTGTCCTCCGTCTTGTAACTACCCACTTCTGCCTCAGGCCCCTGCCAGGGGAGGGAGCCCACTGGAGATGAGGTCATTCCTGTCTGTGGCTGCCCAGAGTCCTGGCCAAGGAATCCAGTGAGGGGGGAGGCCAGGGTTGGCATCACTTCAGTGGAAAATGTGAAGGTGCAGCTCCGGCGCCTCAGAGGGCCTGGGGGGGCAGCAGCACCCGCCGCCGCCTTGCCACGTCAGACCCCAGGGCTAGGAAAGGGGCATGTGTCAGGAGTCACTGACCTCTGGGTATTTGAGGCTGGTCTCTTTACTCTTTGCCCCGGAGTGGCCTAAATGGAGGGATGGGCATGGTGGAACAGGTGCTGATGTGAGGCCATGGCTGTAGGATATCCGGAACACAGTGGGCAACGTGCCTCTAGAGTGGTATGACGACTTCCCACATGTGGGCTATGACCTGGATGGCAGGCGCATCTACAAACCCCTTCGGACCCGGGATGAGCTGGACCAGTTTTTGGACAAGATGGATGATCCTGACTTCTGGTGAGTTGGCCCCCAGGGTGCGTTCTGCGGGCTGCGGGGGTCTGAATGGAAGCTCTGACCGACTGCCCCCCAGGCGTACTGTGCAAGACAGGATGACTGGGCGTGACCTTCGGTTGACTGATGAGCAAGTGGCTCTAGTGCAGCGGCTGCAGAGGGGCCAGTTTGGGGACATGGGCTTCAACCCATATGAGGTAAACAGCAACTGCTGCCCTTGGGGGGCTGGGACCCCAGGCAGGCCCCATCTTAAACGTCTGTGCTGCCTCCCTAGCCAGCTGTGGACTTCTTCAGTGGGGACGTCATGATCCACCCAGTGACCAACCGCCCAGCTGACAAGCGCAGCTTCATTCCCTCCCTGGTGGAGAAGGAGAAGGTGGGAGCCACACTATCCCCAGGGCGAGGCCATTGTGCTGCCTTTCCTGACTCACGCTGTCCCTGCAGGTGTCTCGCATGGTGCATGCCATCAAGATGGGCTGGATCCAGCCTCGCCGGCCCCGAGACTCCACCCCCAGCTTTTACGACCTGTGGGCCCAGGAGGACCCCAATGCTGTTTTGGGACGCCACAGGATGCATGTGCCTGCACCCAAGCTGGCCTTGCCTGGCCACGCTGAATCATACAATCCCCCTCCTGAATACCTGCTCAGTGAGGAAGAGGTGGGCTTGCACCTGGGTAGGAGGGAAGGCCCTGTCATGTTCTCTGAACACCCTCTGCTCACCCATCATCTCCTTATCTCCCCAGCGCTTGGCATGGGGGCAGCAGGAGCCAGGTGAAAGGAAACTCAATTTCCTGCCACAGAAATTCCCAAGCCTACGAGCTGTACCTGCATACAGCCGATTCATCCAAGAACGCTTTGAGCGCTGCCTTGATTTGTACTTGTGCCCACGGCAGCGCAAGATGAGGGTATGTGGGGGCAGCGCCGGTGTGACAGGGAGAAGGGTAAGGCGGGTGTTGAAGGTGACTGAATCCTCTTCTACTTAAGGTGAACGTGGATCCTGAAGACCTCATCCCCAAACTGCCTCGGCCAAGAGACCTACAGCCTTTCCCCACATGCCAAGCCCTGGTGAGTAGGGTCTGGGGCAAGCCCACAAGCTCTGGTGGCTATCTGCTCACCACTCCTCCTGTACAGGTCTACAGGGGCCACAGCGATCTTGTCCGTTGCCTCAGTGTCTCCCCTGGGGGCCAGTGGCTGGCTTCAGGTGAGCCTGAGGGGAGGCAGCCCTTAGCTGGGTACGGGGAGGTAGGCCAGGTGCTGAGGGTCTTCTTTACTGTGTCCAGGCTCGGATGACGGCTCTCTGCGACTCTGGGAGGTGGCCACTGCCCGATGCATGAAGACAGTGCCTGTGGGGGGTGTGGTGAGGAGTGTTGCCTGGAACCCCAACCCCGCCATCTGTTTGGTAGCTGCAGCCCTGTGAGTGTAGAGCCTAGGGGTCAGGGTGGTGGTGGAGGACATGACTGCTGAGTGGCCATGTCTGGCCTTGCTCTGTAGGGATGATACAGTGCTGCTGCTGAATCCGGCCCTGGGGGATAGGCTGCTGGTGAGCAGCACAGACCAGCTGCTAGGTGCCTTCACCCCACCTGAGGAGCCTGCCTTACAACCTGCCCAGTGGCTGGAAGCAACAGAGGAAGAGCGCCAGAGGAGCCTGAGGCTGCGCATCTGTCACGGCAAGGTGTGTGGGGGAGAGGAAGGAGGGAGGTGCAGCCTGGTTCCACCAAGCTGCCAACACTGCTCTCCCACAGCCAGTGACACAGGTGACCTGGCACAGGCATGGGGACTACTTGGCTGTGGTGTTGGCTACCCCAGGCCACACCCAGGTGCTGATCCACCAGCTGAGCCGGCGTCGCAGCCAGAGTCCTTTCCGCCGCAGCCACGGGCAGGTACAGTGTGTGGCTTTCCACCCCACCCGGCCCTTCCTGCTGGTGGCCTCCCAGCGGAGTGTCCGTGTCTACCACCTGCTGCGCCAGGAGCTCACCAAGAAACTGATGCCCAACTGCAAGTGGGTATCCAGCATGGCCGTGCACCCTGCAGGTGCGCATGGGGAGCATATAACTTCTGGGTAAGGACAGGAGTCGCTGTCCTATAGATCGGATGAGGACTCTTGTTTCTGCTCTGGCCCTAGGTGACAACATCATCTGTGGCAGCTATGACAGCAAGCTGGTATGGTTCGACCTGGATCTTTCTACCAAGCCATACAAAGTGCTGAGGTGAGGATGGGGGTGGTGGCCCCCTAGGTGCTCTCTCCTGCCTAGACACAAACCCCACCTAACAGCAGTCTTCCCCCAGGCATCACAAGAAGGCCCTTCGGGCTGTAGCCTTCCACCCTCGGTACCCACTCTTTGCATCCAGCTCAGATGATGGCACCATCATTGTGTGCCATGGCATGGTGTACAAGTAAGTGTTGACCCTCCCCCCAAACCTGCCTTGTGGGGACTAAGTGCGACTGTGCCCTGAGCCCCTCTTCCCCACAGTGACCTGCTACAGAACCCACTGCTGGTGCCAGTCAAAGTGCTGAAGGGACATACACTGACCCGAGACCTGGGCGTCCTGGATGTGGCCTTCCACCCTACACAGCCATGGATCTTCTCATCAGGGGCTGATGGCACCATCCGTCTTTTCACCTAGTCTGCTGCGAAGTGGGTGGGGTGTGTACGCCTGGATCTTCAATAGAGGCCTTGCTCCCTGCTGCCTGCTGCCCTACTTCTTCAATCAGTTCCCTGCGGAACTGCCAGAATCTGGAGGGGCTGCATCATTGCACCCTGGCACCCATTTGGGAGCAAATGGCTTTATTGGGAAATAGGGCAGGCTGACTTGTCCCTGCCCCATCTGGCGTCCAGCACCTTCCTTTCAGAGGCGGGGGTTGGAGTCCAGGTGGCACCTGCCCCTGCCCCTCTCCCCCGCCTGCCAACAGAGGGTCCTTCAGAGGGCTGGCCTGGCACAGGCAGAGGGTATTGCTTGCAGGGGCCCTGGTTGGCCTCAGGCGAACTTCACCAGGCGGCCCAGTGTCTCCGCAGCCTTCTCCCGCACCCTTGGCGCTGGGTCCCGCAGCAGGAGCTGCAGTGCTGGGGACAGAGGGAGGGTTGGGTTGTACATACACTCTGTGCAGGGCCGCCCACTACCTCCTGACAGACAGGCCTCTGTTGGGAGGGCTCGGCAGCCAACGGAAAGATAGTTTTTCCTTTTTTAGTGTTTTTAAAGCTCTTTTGGAACAGTTGAGAAGTTTCCGTGAATTACTAGAGACGATGAGGTCACCAGTGACAGGGAAAAAAATCCTGAAATTCAGGAAAATCACTTAATCCCCCCAGGTGCCCAGAGGGTCAGAGGGGCCCCAGTGGAGCTGAACAGGTGTGTGTGTGTGTGTGTGTGTGTGTGTCGGGCCGGGGGGTGGGGCTCTTACCCACAAGAAGCTGCTCCAGGTCTACCTGTGGCCGGTGCTCGGGCTCTGCATGCAGCACCAGGAACCCTGAAATGGGTGGGGTTAGGCATACAGTGTGCCTAGCTGGGGGGCGGTGCGGGCAGGCACAACTCACCTGTGAACATGGGGGCTGCAGCACGGACACCTTCCCAGCTGCTCTTGAAGTAGAACAGGTTGGTGCTCACCAGGCGGCCCAGCAGGTCAGGGAAGTGATGCATCTGGAGAGAAGTGGCCAGGTGATCAGGGTGGTCAGCCAGGCTGGTGCAGTGGGGGGGACCCTCCCTACCTACCACCTCACCAGGTGCTTGCAGGTGGAATTGAGGAACTCCCCGAAGTGCAGGCTTCGGCCTTCTTGCAGGTGCTTTTGGAAGGCAGTGGCCAACTCGGCACATTCCAGATTGGGGACACACATACACAGGGCAAATCTGCAGGCCTGCAGGAGAAGGCACTGAGCCACCTGGCCACCTCTCCCTGCCCAAATGACACTGGGGACATGGCACTGTGCTGGCAGGCTACCAGTCTTCTTCCATACTGGCTACTCACACTGGCCACAGGGGCCTGAGGGTCCTGCAGGTGTAGCAGGAGGGGCACCAGCCCACCCACAACCTGCTCCAGGAAGATGTCTTCACAGTCCCCATGGCAGGCCTTGTTGAGGTGGCCAAAGAGGCGAATAGATGCTGTCCGGAACTCCACCTTCTCCTGCCAGAGGTGTGGCCATGTCATCTCACAGACCCTGCCCTGAGTCACAGATGGCCCTTGGGGGTAGGGGTGTGGGGGTGTGGGTGGACAAGGACCAGGACAGAGGTTGGCGCTAAAAGACTCACTGATGGGGGTGGGGTCAGGCCACACAACAGGGTGTGTACTATGGGCCTGGGATCTATGTTCTAGAAGGATCTGTCTGGTCTTACTGGAAGTGCAGCTCATGGCAGTTGGAGGCTAAGGCTGGGAGCTCTGAGGGGAAGCAGGAGGAGTGGGCCCAGGCCAAGAAACGACCCCACCGTCAGCCTACACTGTCGAAGAAGGGCCGGATGCGGATAGCCATGTGCAGCAGTACAGAGTGCAGGTCCCAGGGCTCCATGAAGTTCAGCAGTCGTGCAAGGCCCACCATGGCCTCCAGGGCCACCAGCCTGTGGTCATCGTTGTCATCCAGCCCGTTGATCATAGCTGTTAGGAGCTGGGGGCCGTGAGTCCTTACCTAGGGACCCCTGCACTTAAAAGTCTGTGTGTGGCTTTCCCAAGCAGCAGAGCCACCTGCATGCACCTCACCTCCCATTCCCTTGTCCATGCCCACCTGGTCACAACCAGCTGAACCCCAGCCTTCTCCCACTGGGGACCAGGGAGCACACTGCCGGGGCCCACCTTGTCAGGCGAACTGGAGGCGATGTTAGCCAGCCCACGGAGCACCAGCCGTCTCACGCTGGCACTGGAATCCTTCTGTCGGGCCAGCAGGTCGTCCACCAGGGACTCCAGAAGCATTAGGTCGTTGACCACATTGCTGCTGAGCAGCTAGAGGCAGAGGCTGTGTGACTGCCTGCTCCACTGAGTGGAGCCATGCAAGTCCCAGAGTGCTACAGCAGACAGCATGCAGACTAGGAAGCCTTGGGACAGGCTGGAGACCTGCTCCTTCCCTCTCAGGTCTGCACCCACGTGTCCCACCTTGACACGTTCCAACCCTGGCTTACTGTGGTTGTGGTTGTGGCTGTGGCAAGCCTTCAGGTGGCAGTCATGGAAGACCAAGACAACTGCCACTAACAGAGCCTGGGGGACCCTGGCTGCAGCCCACTCCTGCTTAGGGCCAAGACCTGCCACATACTACCCAGCAGGGCTGTGGGCCAGGACTGGGTGGGCTCAGCAAGGATGTTTCCAGGCTTGACCTAACCAAGCTCTAGCTTAGGCTGGGGAGGCCTGTGACTTCCTGTTGGGGGAAGGCTACTTGTACCCAGTCCCATGGGCACAAAGGCACCTCCTGTGCAGTCCTAACCAGAAGCTCATGCTCACAATCCCATACCTTCAAGTCTTACCTCAGCCAGGAAGGCTGTGGAAGTGACCCTCTGGATCTCATATACACTGCTCTGTGTACACAGAAGTGCCTTCGTCACCAGGGGCAGCCGAGGGCCAGCACACTTGGCCATGGCACTAGAGAAAGACCCCAAGGTGTGAAAAGCTGGAACTGTCACCCCAGATGCTCACAGAACTTCACGGGCACTTCTACCTCGGCTCTGCACAGCCCAGGGCAAGCATATTCCCACCCAGGCCCTCAGGGCATCCTTTCCCCAGCCATGTAAGTCCCTGTCATGTTTCCCTAGAAGGTCTCAGGACTTCAGATAACCGCTGAAATGGACTGGGCCACTTACCTGGCCAGTTGGGTAACCCCCTCCTCATGCCCTGTGGAGGTCCTGAGCAATTCCCAGCCTCCTTCCAGCTCCATTAACTGCACCACATCCTGACTGCCGCCTCGGAGCAATAGGGCCTGCAGGGCATCCACCGCAGAGCTGTGGGCACATGAGCACTCAGCTGCCAAGGGGTAGTACTTTGGGGGCCTGTGGCACAGCGCTCTGCCTTATGCCCTCTAGGGCCAGAAGATGCCAACAAGTCAATCAGATGTGCACCCTGCATACACACACTTGGGAGAGTTTTGGGAGCTCCCAACTCTGTCCCTGCCAGTGGCATCCTTGAAGAAACAGGCACAGGGAAGCTTGTGGGCACCATCAGGACTGATGAAGGGCCCAAGCCGAAGAACCTTCCATTGCCCTAGAGGCAAGCTAGCCAAATCAGCCATGGCCACTGCTACCCACCTCGGAGGTAGGCATAGCCACCTGGCCACACCAGCCTTTCTGGTTGCACAGGGATACATCTTGGCCCCAGGAGACCAGGAGAGGCTGCATCTGGCTTCTAAGCTCTCCCCAGACCCAGCCAGCCTGCCACAAGACCACATGCATAGCTCACATCCCAGGTGTAGACCCATACACAGTTTACTCTTGCCTCTCAGGCAGTCACAGGTGAGGTACTGCAACTACTCTGGGAGATCCCAGATCCCGTTGGAAGGGATGGCAGCTACGCTTCTGCCCCACTCTCAGAGGTAGAACAAAGAGGGCCTCCAAGTAAAGGACCAAGAGGATACAGCGGCCAGCAAGGAAGTGGGGGTGGGGGTGGGATGAGGGTGCTGTCCCCTGCTGCCACACCTCACTGGCTCCCCAAAGCTAGCTGTATGGGACACTACCTGGCTCTCCAGCATCTTACAGGAAGCCCCAGGCTCAAGGGTCAGCAGCCGATATGAAGCTGCAGCCTCCAATGCCCAGCGAAAACTTGGCCACTATTTTCTGTATAGATGAGCCCTTCCCAATGGCAGGTGGCAGGTAAGTCCAGCACCAGCTGTCCCCAGGGCACATACACCAAAGCCTGTGGCCCCAGTGAGGAGGGACTATCCTTTCTAGGAGAAACAGCTCTCCCTTGTTCACTGGCCACTCACATTAGACCCATGATGTCCTGTGTACATCTGTGTCCATGAGGTACAGTAAGTCTCTGACTTACGAACCAGTTCCATTCCAGGAGAATTGTTCGTTGAGTCAAACTGTAAGCTAACAGTCTTATATAGTACACCTGTGAAAGTTTGCAACTGGACTATTTGTTGAGGACTTACTGTATTGAACCCAGAGACTCGTGACCCCACAGGTGGACATGCATGGGGCAGTGTGCAGAGCTGTAAGGTGACAACCATGGCAATGGCTGATGGCTATCAGCCATCAGTGGTAGCCTCCTCCTGCAAGGGCTGAGCCGCTGTGCAACGTGCTGCAGCATGCATGAGTGTGAGGGGTTGATTGCCAAGGGGCTCAGCTGAGCAGGACTACGGCCTTTAGCAGACAGGATCAGTGAGCGGGTGTGGTGGGGACAGAACTACGTGGCGAGATTATCTGGGATCTCAGTAGAGGTCACACAGGACTTCTAGGCACTTTAGATATGGGACAGCAGAGCTAAATCCTTCAAGCAAGGCCCTGGGCAGACCTGGAGAACCATAGCCTGAAGGGTGGGCAAGAGTATAGGAGAGTGGAGGGCTCCAACCCAGGAGCAGAGGCTGGGGATTCCTCCCTGCCCCAAACTTTCCCATGGGTATCCTTAGGTGGCTTGTTAGCCAACAGCTGGACCAGCTCGTAGTGTAGCCCTTGATGAGCAGTCACAGGCTCCACCCTCTCTGGGGCTGTCCCCAATTCCAGGACAGGATCTGGTCTTTGAGCCTGGGATTCTGGACGCTAAGGGCAGCCTGCTCTGACTAGTAGCTGTGGTCAATGGGCAGATGCCCAGAGCGCACCTCCGCTCATTCAGGCTGCTAAATGGGGACCAGACCAGGGTGCGAGACCAAGGGTGGGCCAGAAAGGGCACAGTGGGTTCCAGCTCAAGGGCAGCTGTGGACCAGCGATTGTTCTGTAGGCAGAAAATGGCTGCTCAAGTTCTTAGGTGGCTTCAAGAGATCTAACAGGAAGTGCATGTTTAGCTCAGGAATAGCTCAGTTGAGGTACTCCCTTTGCATAGAACATTGAAAAATGTGGCATTTGCAAAGGTCTAGCCCATTCGCTGATGGCCTCTGTCTGCCAGGCTCTGCAAGTATCCCAGCTCAGGGGTTCCTAGGGAAGCTCACAGGCAGATGGAGTGGACTCACAACATGCCAGGGCCAGGCCTGGTAACAGCCCAAGCAGCTCCTCTGTTCCATTCACGTTTTTCACTAGGTCTGGGGAGAGCCAAGCCAGCCTTGGCACCAGCCTCTGCTGGAGTTTACAAGCTGGTTGTGCAGCTAAGTAGCTTTCAGAGGTGGAAGTGGTGGTAAGGTGAACTGGGGTTGTCCCCCGATGGGTCCTGGACCAAGGTGGCACAGGGCTTGTTGTCACTCTGGCTCACAGTCCCGGGGCTCAGGTGGCAGTGTCAGGCTGCCTGGGTTTGGGTGGAGGAGGTTAGCTTCCTCTGCTCAAACCATGGCCCCCAAGGGGCTGTATGGAACCCAGGCTACCACGCCCCAGAGACTAGGCTCCAGGTAGGGCCCCAGAGACCAGGATCTCAAGCAAAGGACAGGAACCCACAGTGCTGAGAGTCAGGGGCAGCCTGACCCAGCCTCAGCCCACCAACATCAGCATGCAGCTCTACCTTACTTGCTTCAGTTCTCCTGATCTAGGTCTCAGGGCTCACTCAGCACAGACCACAAGACCTTAAAGCCAACAGCAAAGTGAAAGGGTGAGAAGTCTCTCATGAGCCCCAGGGCATCTTGGTAACTCCTACACTTGGTGGGTAACACACAACAAGGCCTTCCGCCAGGACAGTTTCCCCCCAACAGCAGGCCTCAGCTTGACTCTTCCTACCCAGCCCCACCTTTGAGAAGGGCCTCTACCTTAGCTCTACCTAAGAGGCCCCAAACTGCTAGTGGCTGCAGCTGGCAATGCTGCATGGACTTTTAACCACCCCTACCTGCCCATGAAGCAGGAAGAGACCAGGTATGCTTGCAGATGGGCTTCCTTTGCTCCCAGCATCAAGTGTGTGTTGATGCCATAATGACCACAAAGCCCTGCACCAGGGGTAGGGGACTCCCTGGAAGCACACACACACAGTCCTGGGGCTTCCATGTCTCCTCCCCTCCAACACACATACCACACAGGCACCTGTGCTCACAAATCATCAGTGGGACAGGGTGGGCTAAGGTCCCCTTTACCTGCAGGGCTCAAGGCTTCTGGTATGGAGGGCTGTGCTGGTGGCCCTCCTTTCCTTGGCTTGCAGGTTCCGGGGCAGTTGGACACCTACAGTGCAGCTCACACGTAGCAGGAGAGCCACAAACAGCTGCGGGTAGAGCTCTAGCACTGTAGTCCCTGATGCAGGGGCAGACACAACCTCGTACAGTGCACAGGTAGCCTGGGGAGGAGACCCACAAGGTTGGCCACAGCAGCATCTGCATTCTGCGCATCAGGACTCTTAATGAGCCCCAGCTGCTCAGCATGCACCCCATGTGAAGAGGTGCTTTTGGGTTCCCAGATAGCGGGGAGGCACAGGGCAGAGGATCCTGTCTAACGTGGCTCCCTGGAGCAGAAGACTGAGACAAAGGGGCAGTGTGGCCTTCAGGCAGTATCTGTTCTTGGTTCTTCAGAAAGGAGGGGAGGAAATTCTCACAGCTGCTTTACTGTTTTAAACATGGCCAGGTGGGGGATGAAATGAGAAGTGGGCTCCCTTGGGGGCCAACACCTGCTGGGTTTTATGAGCCTAGGCTCTGAGCACACTGCTCCTGAGCCCCAGTGCAGCTGCAAGGTGAGGTGGGGTGGACCCCTCATGGGGCAGGGGCAGCATGTCAGTGGTCGCTGGATCCTTACTCACCGCCAGGGGCAGAAGTGTGGCTACTCGGTCGGGAGTGCTGCCCAGAAGGAAGGCGCGGCTCTCCTTGAATGGCATGTCCCTGCTCACCTTCTCCAGGAGCAGCCCCAGGACCTGCGCAGTGAGGCTCGGCTCCATGGCTAGCGCACGCCACAGGGCACAGGTGTGGCTGAAGCAGGTAGCAGGAAGGTCACTTTGGGCCACTGCTGTGCCAGTGGTCTCTCCCTACCACCCTTCCCATCCCAGTTCACTAATGCTCAGAAGCACTAGATTCAGTTCTAACCTGATGGGAAATTGTATCCTGACTTCAGATCTGAACTGACCCCTTCCTCTGGCCCCAAGGGTCTGTGAACAGCTTGCAATACAGAACACAGTGAAACAAACAGTAGGCCTCTCTGGAGGAAGCAGCCCATGGCCAAAGAGGACCAGGGACACAAGGAAACCAGGCAGCACAAGGAAGATCATTCAGATGTCACAGGCAGCATGGAGAAGTGCAGCCTGCTACACTGTTGCTCAGACAACCTGGGAATCAGCTAAGCTTAGTGTTCACAGAAATGTAAGATGAACTTGAAAATGTCTAATGGGAACTAAAACTAAAGACAAATGTACCAAATTTAAAAGTGAACCAGCCGGGTGTGGTGGTGCACTCCTGTAATCCCAGCACTTGGGAGACTGGGGCAGGAGGATCATCGTGAGTTCGAGACCAGCCTGGGCTACAAAGTGAGCTGAAGGCCGGCCTGAACTGCATAGCAAGACCCTGTCTCAAAAAGACAAAAATAAATAAATATGTAAAAGAGAACCAAAGGGTCCTTTTAGAACTGAGGTACATATCCTACAATGGTGGCATACATTTGTAATCACAGCTACTTGGAAGGCTGGAACAGGAGAATCGCAATGCAAGTCCAGCCTAGGCAACATAGAGACCTAGTCTCAAAAAAAAAAAAAAAAAAAAAAAAA